TTCTTTTGTCTTTTGGGACGCGCGATAGTGGAACAACATTAAATTCTTTTGTATCAATCCAAAAGAGAATCGTGTACTTTTTGGTTGATTTGCTTTCCAAGGACTTTTCTGCTGTCTCAGACAGTGACAATAGTGATGTAATCATTTGGTCCGCCATTATTAAGCTTTGAAAATGTGAATTGTCGACAATCAACGCTCGCTCCAACAAACAGTAGTATATGGGCTATGATCTATAAGTTGGCCCGCCAAAAATTTGAAATTTAGAAAAATAGCCAATCACGCTCTCGCGTGAGTCATATTTCTTGTGCGTGTGGGGTTTCAATGATGTTAATTAGCAACACCGGAAAAGAGTATCACGAGATACTTTGAGCCAAAAACGCAGAGTAAATTTTCATGTGTCATAAAACTAAGTCGATAGATATTTATTATTATGAGATTATAGGTAATGAGTACCAACGTGGAAAACATCGTTAGTATAGTTACGTGAGTGTTTCTGTAACATGCCTATATTGACATACTTAACAAAGGGTAACTATGACGTTGAAAAGCATCTGAACGTGAATATCTGAGAGGTCAAAAGGAGGTCTTCTTTATACGAGTTTTTGCATTACAATAGGATCTCTGCAGTTATAAAGGAAAATCTTTTAATATTTCGAAAGACCAAATCTCCCTGTTCTGGTAGCAAATAAAAAATGCATTCATTTTCAATTGGCAAATAATCACAGTTGGTTGCAAAGTATCTGACAGCCATCGCGTGTATGTCATTTCGCATCGTGACTAAGGCCGGTCCTTATCGTCGATGTCTTCATTTCATCACATGCAATATCCATTTTCTGTCATATCATCTATATACAGTTGTGACAAATATTGAATTCTTATAACCTTTTGTGCACAATAAATAGAGTCAACTTTTGCCAGCTTTGTTAGTTTCAACGATGGGATGCCGCAAGAGAAAAGCTGAGCAGAGCGCAGATACTGCTGAAAGTCTACATATTAAGCGACATCAAGAAATTTTAACACAAAGTGATCGTCCTGAAGAGCTCAGTTCTTCTTATTTAGAAGAACACAGCTATTCTATCAGCAGGGGTAGATCATTCTGGAGAGGAACAAGAAAATGGTATTCAGGAAACTTTGACTAATGACAAAACTATGACAGAGCAAGTACATTTCGCTGAGTCAGTAACAGAACCGAAMGAACAGCAAGTACAGGCGACATCGGTAGTAACATTTGATGAAAGTTATAGTGGTGTTGAAGATGATGCAGTGGATGAGAACACGGAGGATACTTTAGACGTARGTCTAGAGTATCTTAAAACCTTAGAAGACTTTCAACTTTTGTCTGAGGCCGATAACTCTTCACAGGCGGATTGGTTATCGGATTATGTAAATGAGACAAAATTCATCATGGATGAAACAGAGGAAATGGAGGAACATTTTAAAGACATCTTCCCAGAGCTAGAATTGGATGACCTGGAGTCAGATCAACYTGCAGATAACTCTGTTAACTCTGACGACTCAACGAATTTGATATATGAGGGAGCACAAATAACAATTTCAGTTAGCATGCTCCTAATCATTTCATTTGTAATACGACACGGCATCACTGCCACTGCTTTGAATGATCTCCTTTCATTAATTTCCTTGCACTGTGCACAAGTACACCCTGGTCTACAGTCGGCCTACAGGTTCATGAAGTATTTCCACAAAATACGTAATCCACTTGTATATCACAAGTTTTGCTCTMACTGTTTWACTCTTATAGACTCTGGTAGCAGTGACARTATATGTCAAAACACTTTTTGTGGAAAACCGATTACCAGGTCAAATGGTACTGGATCGTTTTTTATCGAAGTCYCTATTGCACGACAAATTCAATCTCTTTTCCTCAAAGAAAAATTTRTAAATAACCTACAATATCGTTTTGAGCGAAATAAAAAGCATCCGAGTAAYATTGAAGACATTTACGATGGCAAGGTGTACCAGGAACTGGCACAGGACGGCGGTATCCTATCAAATAAACACAATATTTCACTAACATGGAACACAAATGGCATTCCAGTTTTCAAGTCTTCAAACTTTTCGCTTTGGCCGCTGTATTTTGTAATAAACGAACTCCCTGTCTCAGAAAGAACAAAAAAAAGAGAACATGATTTTTGCTGGTCTTTGGTTTGGTAGTACGAAACCGGAAATGATATAATTTTTAAAACCTTTTAGAAACACGCTATCGACTTTAGAAAATGATGGAGTTMGAGTTACAACATCAACTGGCCAAAACTTCACTTCTAAAGTTGTTTTGATTGCTGGCACTTGCGATCTCCCTGCCAAGTGCCTGGTATGTAATTCCATACAATACAATGGCTTTTATGGATGCATGAAGTGCTAYCAGCCTGGTTGTACAATGAAAACCGCAAAGGGCGGAAATGTCCATGTTTTCCCATTTCAAAATGCCGATTGCAAAGGACCTCCAAGAACTCATACCTGGACCCTGGAACTAGCAAAACAAGCTATTATGGAAAAAAAGACCATTTTTGGAATAAAAGGACCTGCTTGGTTTTCTTCTTTGCGTCATTATGACATGATTCGTGGCATGGGCATTGATTACATGCATGGTGTTTTGCTTGGCATCATGAAAATGCTGCTGTCACTTTGGTTTGATCCTGTGCACAATAACGAAGATTTCAGTATTTCATCAAAACTAGATGAGGTTGATGAACGCCTTTTATCAATAAAACCGCCTGCCAGCATTACTCGATGCCCGAGATCCTTATCCGATAGGAAACACTGGAAAGCATCCGAACTGAGATCGTTCCTGCTATTCTACAGCGTCCCTTGTCTACTAAACATCCTTCCAAAGTTGTATTTAGAACATTTTGTATTACTTAGCGAAGCAATATACATTTTACTCCAAGAAAGTATTTCTCAAGGGGAGATAAGTCACGCAGAAAATCTCCTAATTCACTTTTGTCTAATGATGGAAAGTCTGTACGGAAGGCGGCGCCTTACAGCGAACTGCCACTACCTACTGCATCTGGCTGACGATGTCAGAGATCTTGGTCCATTATGGACACATTCTTGTTTTCATTTTGAAGACAAAAATGGGTTCCTTCTTAAATTGCTGCACGGAACTCAAAAAACCGAGTTTCAAGTAGTTACTGCCATATCTCTCATTCAAAGAATTCCTGAAATGGCAAGCTGTTTAAATCCTGGTAGCATAGCCGAAAAGTTTTATCTGACTCTTCAAAACATTTCCAGTCCTACCAGAGAAATTGTGATTGAGCCAAATATTTACGTTTTGGGAGCCGTGCAAAAATATACTCTCAATGAAAAGGAATACGCTGCTCTCACAGACGCCTTACAGGGTTCACTTCCCGTTGGTAATGAAGTTGTACGATCCCTAAGAATCAGGATTGGCCGAGAGGTTTATCACTCTGAATCATACACTCGTGTGATAAGGAGAAATAACTGCTTTATCCAGTACTTAGACAAAACAGGACAAGTGTCCTTTGCGCAAATCAAATTTTTTTTCCAGCATACCTCGGATCAATTTGATGTTTCAGGAAATGAAATCATTCTCAATTTTGCCATGACCTACAAATTAGAAAGACTTTCAGAAATGCTAGTTCATGACGAAATTACTAAATCCACCGCTAGACAGTTTATCCCTATCAATTTGTCCGCAGATGAGAAATTGTTTTGCATTCCAATCTCAAAAATACTGAATAAGTGTATACCTATTGTATTCAAAGAGAGCAAGGACAAAGGTTACATAGTGCCATTTCCGAACAATTGCGAGAAAGACTAAATAGTATGTTTGTGTCAGCTAGTGTAATACAAAGCTATACAATTTTATTTGAAGAAAGATCTGCTATTATAATTATAATTTATAGCCACTTAGTTTTAGATTAATCATTGCTTTTACTAATCTGTCCCCTCTACTAATAATGGTATTAATAGAATATAATGGACATATAAAAATGTAAATGAATGACTGTTTGATATATTATTTGTTTTTCACTGTGTGTTTTTCTCTTCAATAAATTAGAATAAATACACGTGTTTTCACTTTTTGTCCCTAAAATAAAATGGCTTAAGAGTGTACCACGAATTTCGGCTTTTTTGGCGGGAGTATTATGCAGATTTGTAATACGATGCCCGGCAAGTTGAGAGCTATAATCTCCACAGGAAACCCATAATTGGAACTAGAAAAGCGCTCCAAGTTCACGAAGCCGATATGTGCCATCAAAGTATGCGACAACTCTTCAAAAAATTCGGATGTGTTTCTTTTTCTAAATGCGAATGCAGAATCAGCAGGTCTACAGAAAATACAAGTACAATTTTACTTTTTTCGGAAATAATGTGCCGAAGAGTTGCGTGTGCTGTTTATTTAACTTATAAGTTACTGAACTATAAAGTTTTCGGTACATTATCACTGAGATGAGGAAATTCGAACTGTCCTATTTCATCTAACAAGAATGCAACGTCTGAAGCTTCTGTTTGTAAGTATTATACCGGTATTTCAAGTTTTAAATTTAGACATTTGTGTTGTGTTCTCTTTACACGCGAACAAAATCAGTCTCGGTTCACCGCTTTAACTTGCGTGTTTTCAATTCGCCGTGTACTTTAGTAAACATCTACGTGCTTAGATAAGATTACAAAGCTCAAAAGGTATGCAACAGACCTTTCTCAGATCAACATTGAAGGTCAAGTACAGGTCTAGCCGGATAATAGTTTCAACAGTCTATTTTTAATATAGAAGGCCTTAAAAATGTCTGTTACAGGTTAAAAGAGAAGGCGAACTGAAGGCATCGAAAACAAATTTTCTGAGTTCATCTTCAACAGGCGACTAGCAGGCTTGCAGACTTATCATTTTGCCTCCCTTCACCTGCAGGTCATCTGTAAATACGAATTTCAGACCTGTAACATGTCTGTAACAAGTCTGTGGTTTTTGTACGGGATGACTTCACTCTACATGTCGCACCAACTAACATTAAATACACAATAATAACAAATGTCAAAAATTAAAATGAAGCATCGACACTGCATCATTTTTTTTTCCTTGTACTGTTTATGGCTTTTCTGAAAGTAGGATAATAACCCTGACACAATAGTAATCAGAGGGAGATAATATTAGGCAAACACGAATTATCAAAGATTATAGACACAACAGAGTTTCATGGTTTAAGTGCTGTTATTCGATATACATTAAAGCCAGCATCCACACTATGAATGGCAATATTATTTTTGCACTACATGAGTCTACATTTGTTTTTGTTAGGTTGCATCCTCAAGTGTTAAGAGCGACTGTCCAGAAAAATCGAGCAAAATCGAAAGTATCCGGCCACAATGAAAAATTCAAATTCCTTGAAACTCAGATCCTGGACACCTTTCTGTGAGCCTACTAACGTGGTCGAATCGGTTTTTTGACCTAAGTTTAAAAATTGGAGTTTTTGAGCAAAATTGGTTTTACCCCGATTTGGTCTAAAATTAGCATATGAGACCGTTGAAACTTGCAACTTTTTGAAAGTTATTTCTTCAATCAATTTAAATATTTTTGCGCAATTTTTTTACAGAATCCGAAAGAATACATCCTAAGGAGTTGCCCGGAATCGGCTTTGGCTTTTCAATGTATTTTTAACGGGGAGGAAAAATGACTTTTTCTTGGCCGGTTTTCAAAGCTTGATTTGAGTTGAAATTTCCGAGCACATTTTTCTCCATGTGGCCATTGTCCAATTTTTACGAAACTCACCCTGAATGAGGTTGAAATATCAATATAAACCGAGGTAGAAAAATATTTCTGGGTTTTTACACTGGTAGTGCGATAGCAGCGATCAAATATCACGATTTTTTGACTTGCAATATGCAAATTAGCAGTTTGTTTACATTTACTCAGATAGATCATTCGAATGAAATTTTTTCTCAAACATCGAAACCAACCAAATATATCATTTGATCGAATTAAATGAAGTAATTAGACACTTTCAAACAATAAAGGCGATTGTATCTTGACCTTTAGCCCCATATTTCCTTCTGACGGTTTCTGTGACGATCATTCCAATAGTTAGCCACTCAAAAATTCTCGAAATTAAACTATATTATTGTTTTACAAGATTGCCATAGAAAAATACAGCTTTTTAAAGCAGTAAATATCATAATAAGTAAAAGCGCAAACGTTATAAAGGAATTAAAGTCAGTTTTTTATTATTATTATTTATAAGCGGTACTTTAGTTTTGCTGGAATACAAAGTGCTCTAAGGGACCAGTAATATATTAGAAGGGAGGGATGGGAATGGGATTTTGACAAAAAAATAGATTGGAAAATGGGATCAGACAGCCCTCCCCTCTACTGAGGAGCTTCACAAAATTATGTAAAGATTTTTAAGGGTTCCTTTTCTTAGTTCATCCCATTCATCCCGTTCAGGTTCTTCTAGTGTTAAAGGGACCCTCTACTTCTCAGCAAGTTGAACTTATATTATGTAGAATTTAACGCTGATTTCGAAAATCGTATTAAAAATTTYGAGAAATAATTAGTAAGCTGATTAAAGCGATTTTAATCTCATTAAAAAATCGGTTTGGGCACCCTGTGCTGTCGTGACGTCATRTCGTGACGTCAGGTCGTGGTCGTGGTTTGTTTTGACAAGAAGGAAACCTATAATYGTGYCCTTTTCCCGGGCTTTTTATTTCTTTAATTATGGCTATGCATTTTCAATTCGAGCTCGAATATGACGACAGTGAGTTAACAGATCAATAAGACAGCTTTGATCACGAAAAAGAATCGAGTGAAGAATATAATATGGAAGAAAATTCGGAAGAAGTATCGTGGTGAATGCGGGCTGTGCGCGAAGATTGAAACAACTGAAATGTGTGTTTTCTGTAAAGATTTGGATCGATTTTGTATTTAACTGAAGCAAATAAAAAAGGAATGAGTAAAAGTAAGCTCTATAGAATGTTTTATATTATCAATGCCAATCTATTTTCTTTAAATGACTCTTGAGTAACGAAACACGAAAGCTCGCGCTTGCGAGGCTGTTTGTTTACGCTTTAGTACGGGACGTTCTCTGGACTACACTTGTGTAAATCTGCCCAAAGTCCCAAAGCAAATAAACTTCCCAAGCAGTGAATAACCAAGAAAATATGTATAGATCAAATTAAGTTATTTTGTTTTGGATATAATTTGTCGTATACGGTTTGGAAGGTTCAAGACCCACGGCTTTACGTGACCTGAGTAGTACTCCAAAGTCTGTCGATCGTACAAACAGTTTCATAATTTGTCTTTTAGCTTTTAGATCCTTTCGATATGCTGCTTACAGACAGCTTACATGGTGGAAACATGGGTATTTGGCTTAGGCAGATGTGCTCTTTCTCTGTCATGAAGTGACACTGCAGTCCAGAGAAATTCCCGGACAGTCCTCGAAGCTTTCGTGGTTCGTTTGATATGATACAGTGTACACAAGAGTCATCTATAGAAGAAACGACCGCTAGTTATCATGATTAACATTCTATAGAGCTTACTTTTACTCATTCCTTTTTTATTTGCTTCAGTTAAATACGAAATCGATCCAAATCTTTACAGAAAACACACATTTCAGTTGTTTCAATCTTCGCGCACAGCCCGCATTCACCACGATACTTCTTCCGAATTTTCTTCCATATTATATTCTTCACTCGATTCTTTTTCGTGATCAAAGCTGTCTTATTGATCTGTTAACTCACTGTCGTCATATTCGAGCTCGAATTGAAAATGCATAGCCATAATTAAAGAAATAAAAAGCCCGGGAAAAGGGCACAATTATAGGTTTCCTTCTTGTCAAAACAAACCACGACCACGACCTGACGTCACGAYATGACGTCACGACAGCACAKGGTGCCCAAACCGATTTTTTAATGAGATTAAAATCGCTTTAATCAGCTTACTAATTATTTCTCAAAATTTTTAATACGATTTTCGAAATCAGCGTTAAATTCTACATAATATAAGTTCAACTTGCTGAGAAGTAGAGGGTCCCTTTAAGTATGAAATCAGTCAACTATTGACCATATGAAAAACGAGTAGAAGACTGAGAATGAGCACATTAAATGTTTTTTTTCAAAATCTGTTTTTACCATAGAAAAGAATACATCTAAACTAGTAAATTGGCGGAGTTTTAGTTTGAAATGTTGAATATCAGCAGAGTTACGAGCATTTGCGGAAATGTAGCTAAAACGTGAAAACATGGCTTGCGTCAATGCTGATTTTCACTTTAAAGTCTTTGCAATTTCAAACACTTGTAATTTCTGGTCCTTGAATGTTAGAGCAATCAAACTTTGAGATCTTTATTATTATAATATGTTCTTTCAACGGATACAAAATTATCAATAAAGGCGTTACGATAGCCACTCCCTTTTTCATATGTTCTATGAATACATTATAAATTGCGATATTTTGAAAATATAGTATTTTGTTTCATAAGAATGGGTGGGTCATGTGAATTTATGTTTGCAGTTTGAATGAGTCATGTAATTTTGTGCATTTGGAAGCTCAGAATCTGTCCAGGGAAATAAAAATGCACCAGTC